GTGTCAAAAATAAGATCGTAAAAAACACCACTGGACAAATTCAGTCGCTTTTGAATATGAAATGAACTACTCGAAGTTGTAAATAGGGAATTTATATGACTATTAGAATCATACAGTGAAGATGCCTAGTCCAGTTGTTTCAGATCTCCGCCTACCATGATGTTAGGAATAATAGTTTCATGTCTGTAAAAAGTTGTTAGCAAGAAATAGGACTACCTTTTCAAAACTGTTTCTAATAAATCTATCCATGAGTTTGGTGACTCGTCTTGTATAACTTTAATGAAATTCTACTGGCAAGTATTGATATAAAACCAAATTATAAAAAAGCATAGCCTTGATATTATTTAGAAATTTTTCACTTTTCAGTCGATTTAATCCTTTTCACAATCATTAGATCTCTACGAAACAAACCGAAACGTGGCATCAGTGCTTGAATTCACCAACTTCTCGTCTGGGCCATGTTGGTAGATACAAAGTACTTGGTTGGGGTCCGCATGACTATCGTAACCAATGGTTGAAGACTCTGGGTGACGACTCAGTTGATCACAATGGCCTAGGTGTATACACTCCCTGTCTTCCCTTAAACTAAGAGATTAAAATCGCTTCATATCTTTCTTTCTACTAACTAATTCTTTCTTCCTGTACTATGTCCTTATACGTAATCTTTCTTTTATATATTACCACCACTGAATTAACTACTTCTATGAATCCGGTGTTCATCTTGTTGTGCTAATGAGGTATGGCAACTTGGACCGATGTACATATATGCCTGGTCCTATGTTATAGCTAGTTGACTAACTAAACATGATAGGTTATACAAATGAGTAAATATACTTTCAGGAACAATAACATTAGATCCATTAACGCAAAAATAATGAATATAACAGTCCTCAGTTTATTGCCTTACCCAGTTAGAAATAGCTAAGATGAATTACATATTTACATACGAAGCCACAAAATTAAGTTGAACTTAACCTTACAAACTCTGAGCTAGTCGCTAAGCTCCAGTATTCTCAGACATGAATATCTAAGCCCGAGCATGATCAGTTTGTTTCATGCAACAGCTAACAGATTGCGCCACTTGATGACCTACGCCAAATAAGGTTGCATGTACAGAAAAATATTTGGCCATTTTTCAGAAACTAGATCACATTGAGGATAATGTTAGTTTTATTAAGACAGTGTTATTTCAGTGACCGTTCACCGTTTTAAGCGTCCAAATCATTCTGTGATCCTCACTCCTGTTTTATTATTAAAAGATAAGTTATATCGGAATATCACTTCTAAAAGTGACGCGTACTTATACACCAGTACTTCAATTTACATAGATCCCCATTGTATGCGCGAAAATAATAGAAAAGTGTTGTCTCAAACCAGACAATGCACATTTTTTCGGTTATTCAGTTGCTCAGATTCAAGAATCTCTAAACGAAGGGTTTTTGATTACTAGTAGCACTAAAGAAGTGAAAGTCCTATTCTTAGATATATTCCTTTACTCACAACAAGATGTTGGTTGACAACTCCGTCAGACTGTCCACGATGAATATTACTTTTTGTAAAGTACTGATGTAAACCAATCCAGCTACAGAAATGTATCCTCACACATCAATCCCTAATGATCAAAGCTGTCTAGATTGTTGAGTACAACCCACACCACTGATTTCATTTTAGTAATATATATGGTACACAAAAGAAGATCCATACGAGAGATATTCAGGTATTTTCCTTTATAATTCTTTATTAATGTTTCAGTATGCAAACATTACTTGACTAACATGGTTGTTATCTTAACCACTGTAGAGAACCATGTTTATCTGTTGGTTAAAAAATTGGAAAGATAAACCAAAACCATCAATTAGCTAACCACAACTTAATTTACTCAATTACACGTATATGTGTTAAATGTTGAAGTGACTGACGTACCCCTACACGTCATGGAACCAATTTTCTAACTCAAGAAAATTTCAGAATAAAGAACTATTGACTAACTAGACGAATAAGATACTATACAGCTTAGACAAGTATTTATGCAAATGCTTTGGCTAAGTACACTTATGTGCACTCAGTTTGACCTACGGATAATTATAGATACAAACGATGTCCGAACCTATATAGCTGGTGGAAGAGTCATAATATATTATCCACTGGTTAGCAGTGAAGCGCTTTAATAACTAAATATAATGAGACCTAGTGGGTTAAGAAAGACTAGTCATATATAAAAATCTAAGAGTTAATGCCTTTTCTCGCCATGACTTCTCATTGATAAAATTATTTGACAACAAAAATACGTAAAGACTAAAACACAATTCACAGATTGAAATCATGAGTCAGTTGAAGCTAGACCACCATTGAAAACCTGGAAGCACTGGACGGCCGTTTCGTCCTGGTATGGGACTCCTCAGCAGTGCGCATCCACGATCCCGCACCACGCGGGGCTCGAACCCAGGACCCTACTGGCTTCGCGCGCGAGCACTTAACCATTAGGCATCCAACGGTGTCCTGGGTTCGAGCCCCGCGTGGTGCGGGATCGTGGACGCGCACTGCTGAGGAGTCCCATACCAGGACGAAACGGCCGTCCAGTGCTTCCAGGTTTTCAGTGGTGGTCTAGCTTCAACTGACTCATGGTTTCAATTTGTGAAAATTTCTAAAAATCTCCACAAACCCCTTCTGATAAAACACAATTCAACAAATATTATTTTGCTGTACAGTATATTTAGTAAATGAAAATAGTGTAATATATTTTCATTGGTATTAATTGACTACAATTTAATTAGTGTTATATGGACTTTACTATAGTCTATTTTTAATCCGAGTGGCATTAGTAAAAGTTATTATGTTGATTCCAATAACCTAATACTGCCTTTGTTTTCTGAAAATTGGATACAATAAAATCACTGTATTTCTGGAACTTCAAAGTGGAAACCATTACCACCAAGTACGGTTAGTAAAAACCAACAAAAATAGATTACCTTTTGTTTTTTAAATAACACCACAACACAATTTATAAAGTATAACTGCTGACACACATTGTCACAGCTGAACAAAATCCATTGACTGGAATGAGGATTCAACTTAAGCAAAAAACATTCATTATAGTTAACATCCCTGACCGTGGATATGAACCTCTGAGTCCTACACTAAGATGAGACAACTGTCCAGGGTCTCCTGGTTTTCAGTTGTTGTCTAAATACTAGTTTACGATGCAATCTAAGAAACATTAATAATCAACACAAACCCCTACATAAATAGTAAACATCTTATTAGTGTTTCACATTACTGAGGAAAATGAATCAATTAGATAATGGTATTATGTACAATTGGATATGTGAGAAAAAGTTAATCGATCAGTGCTTATACATAATTTAATAAGCATTTGGTTTACGTACTTTTAAAATATAATCAATCAGATGTAATTGCTCACAGGGTACTACTGTTGCGATACAAAAGACGGAGTTTACAAAGTATAATTTTCAATACATAATGAGTACATATTCCATTTCGTCTATATTTTCTTTAGAAACGCAAGGACCATGATCTAAAATAATTAGTCTTGTTGTATTGCAAGTAATATTTATTGATCAATCCGTCGAGGAAAAGTAAATTTTTTTTTTCAATAAAACAGATCTATAATAGGATTGATATTAATTTATATTTACATTTTGGAAGTCTATTATCATTTCACCTTTATGTGCAATCCTTAACACCAAGTGTTTAGTGTTAAAAGCAAATGAACTGTCGAATTCCTAATACAGATGCAGGTAATCAGTAATATATATGGTATTTATCTTTAAACTTGATAACTTTTGAGGGTAATGCAAAGAATGTGTTGATCATTGTAAGTAATTAAAAACAAAAATCTCTTCATTTAACTTGTATTTTCAATGATTATTAGAATACTCCACTACTTGATATATAAGTTATTAATAAAACTTAGGAATAACGTCACCATTAATTATTTTCTAAAAAAAAGTAATAAAGACAACAAAAGTAGATTTACTTTGGCAAATCAAACCTCATTTGAATATAGTATTGAATATTCAGTGCAAAAATTAGAACGATCGAGTATTGTATGTACATGTAACTTCTCCTTAATGAGGAAATTCTCCACAGAATAATAGAGATGAAATTTACACGTTAGCAGTTATGAAAGCGATTATTCTTCTGTCAGATTTTGAACCTTTAGGGAACCAGTTGATACAATGACTTTAAACAACAGACGGACAGAGTAATACTACTTAACTTATAAATAAGCAAAATATCTAAGTTGAGAAGACACTATATTTCATGATGTCAATACATACGTAATGACGGACTCTTATGAACTCTTGAAATAGTAACGAAAAGAACTCAATGATTGATGGAAAAGTAAGATTTTGATAAACTGAACATGTAAGAGTATACGTTAAATTATGGGAGGCGGTTAGTCGAGTTTAAAAAAGCCAACAATACCAACAATGAAAATGAATTTCAAGTAACTTACTTTTGGAATAAAATCTAACTTGAATTCACTTTTAAGCAGTCTTTTAATTTACATTTTCCTAAAAATATCCATACTGATTACATCGAAGAGCGAAATGTCTAACTAAGGCATGCATAAAAATAGCATTACAAAGAGAAAATGATTTTTCTTACTAACAATAATATTTACGAGTAGTTTGTATACAAAATATACACATTGAGAAATGGGGATTTTAACACAAAAAAAAGAAGAGATTACAGAGATACTATTATTCAGTTACAGAATGAAATTAAATAACGAATTAGAAGTGAATAGATCGGAATAGTAATAGTAATAAAATACCAACTGATAAATAAGAAATATCACTACTGTTAGTCAATAGAAATCAAGATTATATCAGTAAAAAAGAAAAATTAGTTTGCAACGCGTGTTTACAAGTAAGGTTTGGCAATGAGTCCTTTTCACAATGCGACATTATCTTGTCTCCAGCCGAAATGGTAGATAACATAAACTTTATATATATATATGTACGAATATAACACTATGTTTTTCGTAATACTGGAGGTACCTGTGAAAAGGAAGAAATTCATGAAGTATACAAAGATTTAAGAAAATTTATGTATAATATTTAACCTTCATCAAAACTGAGAGAAACGAAACCGATAGAGAATGGTTGGTGCACGAATATGTGGGAAAACTGAGATAAGTTTATATAGTGAGTAGATTGGAAATTTCCGCTACTTTCTTCAAATACTTCATATAATCAGCTACAATCTGTTCTCAGTAAACATAATCAATAATGTCATTACTACTGTAATATCATACACCATCTGGATCATACAATAACATTCCGGGTTTATACTCTCGGCCATGAAGTACAGTTTACGTGTGATGTTATGCGAAAATACTTTTTAAAAGTACAACCTTAGAAATCTAGTAATTAGTAAGCAAACAAAGTTACGGTTTACATTCCACAATACATAATCAGTTCTCTCTTTCATGATAATGATTCACTAATGATAAACTTTTCATGGTCTAATTAATGAATTAATTAGCAAGTCTACGGATTATATACCCCAATCACCTATGCATAGATATAAAATAATGTTAAAGAATACTAAACATTAGCCCATCTTGATAAAGGTAACAGAAAACTATATTTTGTCAATATCTTAGCTTATCTGTATGACATCAGCATCGAAATTCAAAGTGGATGATAGTAGAAAGCGAAATGTCATAAAATAACGTACACACATAACATACACTGCATTGAACTAAAATATTTACGATAAGTACTTCATGGAAAACCGGGAAAAACATACTTTGAAGTAAACATGTACAGAAATAATTTTACCTTAGGTATCACTGAACTATCATCCTCTTTTGTAAGTGTATTTGTAGATTCTGTACTATTGGATTGTGTAATAGTAGAGTCGGTGATTCGTTCAGATGAAACAAGTTCATCACTTGGGCTGATTGACTTCAACTCAATTTCGTCTGTGATTGCTCTTGTGCTGAGAATCTCATCACCACTAGTGTTATAATAACTCAAATCTTGTGAAACATCACTATCTACCCTGTGTTAAAAAGCAAAGAATTATCTTCAGGTAATAAGTAACTGCAGTTATTAATGAAAATTTTCTTCGACATGTTATAAAAGCTGAGTTAAAAATCACCACGAAAAAACCCAAATTAAATATTTCATTGAACTGTTACTAAATGATAATAATCTAAAAAAATGAAGTAATTTGATCAACTATTTATCATCAACACAGTCTCTGACTTTTCTTAGATCTTGCGTTTTAAAATTATCTTATACATTTTTCTCCGTGAGTTTATCCTAACTTCTCGAATTATAGTGTCTACACCCTAATCTTCTCTACTATTGCAACTACTACTGCTGATACCATTACTACTTCTAATAATCTGGAAATTGTCTTGATAACTTTATCGCTCTGTACCGAAATGGTGTGGTGGTTTGAACAGATGCACATATGTGTCTGATTTTATGTTAATGAGGACTAATGGACGATTAAAGATTTGAGGCAAGCATGGAAAATCAAGTTTATCCAAGTAAAATTATGACATTATGAATAAATGCGATTTTTTCACCATCAAAATACCTAACAATATTTAGAAAGATGAATAGATAAACACATCATTTAAATATGGGTTCACTGAAATATTCTAAACACGAAATTCATTCCAATATTATTAAATTATTTTATGCCTTTCGGTTATAGGAAGCATTTATCGATAAAAAGGCTTAAGGTTTAAATAATTTGACTCTAAAACCATATTAAAACCAATCACTAAATTGTTATTGACTACTGTGAGTAATTATGAAGTTAGTTGCGCAGTACGAAGTAGATATAGTAAGTCGGATCGGTGAGGCTACAAACCTCCACTGACTTAGGCAGTTGGGATATATATATATATATAAGATATGCCTAATCCCCATTTACCCCGATGCTCAGTGACAGCTGACGTAGGAGCAGACCGGGAAAGAGCTAAGAGTTACTATGAAGTCAATCCATGAAACCATTAACCATATAAATTGATTCAGAGTTTTTGTTTAGAGCACTCTAGATAAACGGTATCTACGGTTAGAAATTTGGCGTGACATGTTATAAGATCAGTTAGTTGCAGATTTATTTTTGCATTGACAATAAGTAACCTATTTAAATACACAACCATCTTCAGTAATTTCACTTATTAAAATAATTTTATTGTCATTCACTGATAATAAAGTTTATGAAATATAAACATATATTGTCTCTTGATATCAGCTAGTATATTTTGTCTATTGGATAGACACTAAGAAAACAGTTGAAAATAAATTTTTTTTAGAGTAACGAGATGGAATTGATCTGAAAAAAATGTGATTTATTCGAAGTATAAATTTCGAATAATCCGGTTATATGTATACTTGTCAAGACATTTATAAAAACTAATAAAGGTCAATTAAATAAAAGTTAAAATAAACGTAGTGATAGCTGAAAATAAAGAAAAAAATTAATATAAAATGGAAATAATAGGGAACTGCGGTCACCCTAGGCTATGAAATGGATAAAGATTATCAAGGTAGATTTAAGGTTATAATTAATTGTTTCTATACACATAAAGGAAGTCTGCATATTTTGATAGTTAAGGCTTCTTTTTCGAAATTTCAGAATGCGCCCTGGACAGTTACTATACGTTTTCAAAGCTGTGTTGATGTTAACTCTATGATACATTAAACATTTAATTATCGATGAAAAAATTTGTTAACATCAATTCCATCTTCTGATCGTCCCATAAAAAAAAATTTGTACAAGGGAATAATTGCTTTAAAATAAAGCGTTTTGTTTTTAAAGTTCAGTAATGTAATACTACAGAACTACTCATATGAACTTACCGTGTTAGATCACGTTTATTTACATCAAGAGGTAAATCAGAATTCTAAAGTATAAATCATAACAAAACAGAAATAATTTTTTTTATTTTATACAATGCAAAATTTACATAGTTAGATAATATTACAACAAAATTAGTCAAACATGGAAAGAGAAAAAAAAAGAAGTAACATCAATTGACTTTCTCACGCAAAAATTAGACGAGAAAAAAGGACTTACAAAAACAATGAAATTATAATAAAACTACCTTCTTTTATCTAAATAGCTATTCTCTATTATTTTTTTTTAGAAAAAAAAAGGCAGTTAACGATAACTGTTACATTGAATTATTGATATTCTAGCCCTAATATGATAGAGCAAACTCCACCCATTTTCCCCATTGATAAAATAATAATAATAATCGTTATTACATAAATGAGAATATAAATCGACGTTTATTCTAGTGAAAAAGTACATATGTGCATATATATATATAATCGATTAGTCTTCGTATAGCATAAAATAGATAACCTATTCACAATGAAAAAAAACAACTTCTCAAGTTAATTTCGAAAATATTTTTGTATAATTGATAGGTAATTTGTATTTTTCTTTTTGTAAAATGAGACAATTGAATTTCGTATCAAGGATAAAGATGAGGAATCTCAAGCTAGAAACAAACAAAAGTACAGTACATCATGATTTTAGATTATTCCTTTCGAAAACTAACGAATAGCTACAACCAAAGCTTACATGAAACTTAGATCTTCTAGTAATCTAACGTTGGATATATGAAAAGAATAAGGGGCTACATACGATGAATACGTCTAAAGGAGGAATATATGAAGTGAATTTTAGGTCATTTAAAAACACCATATCAATATTATCAATATAGTACGCTTTAGGGATTGCTGTAATACGATCCGAAAACTGTAACGACAAACACAAACCCAAATACTAATTAGGCTGAGAATATTAAGATCGTTAACATTAAGTAACGCATATCACAAGGATGTTATATATGAATTTTGTAAATAAGGGTTAGTTGTTTCTTGCTGCGATAAACGAGAGCACAATTTTAAATTCATATTTAGCATGACATTTGTTATTTTCTAGTCGGATAATTCTTCTATCGCAAAGTCGTATCTGATATATATATATATATATATATATATATATATATATATAGTAGATTCCTTACGTACAAGAATAATCTTGACCGTCCCCATCGGACAAGCTAAGAGTGAGAAAGCAGCAGCACCAGACAAAATACAAGCTGAAGCACTGAATTCAAAAACAGAAGTACCTGCAAGGACGTTGCACATCCACCTAAGAAGATTATGGGCAGAAAAACAAATGCCAATAGACTGGATAGAGGGATACCTCATCAAGATACCAAAGAAACGTGACCTTAGCAAGTGTGACGACCACAGAGGCACGCACTACTGTCAGTAGCATAGACATTTTTCAAAACTGAACGAAAGATTTAGTAAACGCCCAACTTCTAGACGATAAGGTTGGCTTTCGTAAGAATCGATCATATACCGACCATATCCTGACATCACGTATCATTGTTAAGCAATTAACTGAATGGAATTCGCCACTACAAATCAACTCCCTTAACTATGAGAAAGCATTCAAACGCGTGCAGAGAAAAACCTACAGGAAATTCCTCCCAAAACATGGAGTACGTGGGAAGATCGTCAACATCATACGGAATTCTTATGACGGGTACACCGTAAAGTCCTCCATGAAGAGTAGCTTACAGATATGTTCCACGTAAAGACCGGCGTTAGACAACGTTGCTTACTCTCGCCTTTCCTCTTTCGGGTTATGAAAACCTCAACATCGTTAGGGAAGCACGGGATACAATGGACAGCATGCATGCAACAAGACGATTTGGACTTTGAAAATGATCAAGCTCTTCTAACTCATATAGATGCAGGTGACGACAGGTAGTGTAGCAACAGCCTCTGAAGCAGTAGGCCTCAACATACACAAGGAAAAAAGTAAGATCCTCAAATACAACATAGTGAGCACTAACCAAATCACACTTGATGTAGCAACTCTAGAAGAGGTGGAAGCTTTCACGAACTTGGTCAGTATCATCGGTAAACAAGGAAGATCTTATGTCAGTGGTAAAGACAAGGATCGGCAAAGCAAAGGCCACAAACCTACAGTTGGAGAACATATGGAACTCAAAACAACTGTCTGCAAGCCAACACCACACTCGGAATCTTCAATACGAACGTCAATACAATTCTGCTGTGCGGAGCTGAAACTTAGAGAACTACTACAACCATCATCCAAAAGTAAAAGTATTTATAAACAGTTGTTTACGCAAGCCACTACAAATTCGTTGGCCGGACACCACCAACAACAACAACCTACTTTGGCAGAGAACAAACCAGACCTCAGTTGATGAAAAAAGATACGACGAGACACACTTCAGGGAAGTCGTCAAACTGCATCACGAAACAAGTCTTGACTGAGGATCATCAAAGCCAAAGGAAAAGAGGGAGACCCAAGAACACACTGAGAAGGGAATTGAAAACAAGCAACAAAAGAATGAAGAGCACTTAGCGACAACTGGAAAAGAGAGCCTAGGACAGAGTATGTTGGGGAATTCCGGTCGGTGGCCTCTGTTCCACAAGGAATAACAGACGTACGTAAGTGAGCAGACTGAAAGGAACAAATCACACGATACAATATCACTAAAAAGTAAACCTCCACTATAACAGCACCATTAAATAGATCGTATAATACTTGAATAGAATTTTTCTGCATGATTATTTAGTTGATAAACAAAACTGATTTATTTGAATTACACGGAAAAAACTAAAATACTGATCGAATATTAATTTAATGACTATGTTTAAACGTAAAAATAGATGGCTACATTTGTTGAAATTTACCTTATGTAACTCAAACGTCAAATAAAAGCAAGTAAATTGCAAACAATGTTACGTATAAGTCAAAAAAGTTAAATATATACTCACTTTGCCTAGGGACGATAAATATACCGGATTATCTCGTTGTGTACTTTCTGATATGAAATTAAACGTTGAAATAGAAGGCAGACATTCTTTTCCATCTGAAAATATTTTACTATTAGAGATAGTTTGTGGTCTATCTGAGCAAATACTACTGCTATTATTGGCTAAATCACCTGTTACAATTGGTTGATCGGATGATTTACCAGTGGATGGTAAAGATAAAACAACTTTACTACTTGTAGTAAATGGTCCATTTGATTGACTCTGTGATGACATTTCAGCAATATCTTCTTTTTCACATAAATCAATATATTTAATACTACAGAATAGATTTTTCTTTTTACTTTGATCCACATTATTAGATGTTTGATTTTCAGTAGATGGATTAGATTTTTGACGTTGTAAAACTATAAATTCATATGTTGTCATACCTTTTATATCTGAAATAAATGAGAGAAAAATATGGTAATTAATGAGGTTTAAAACAATATTCATTACACATGTCATTGTTGAACTGAAAATGAATGATGTAAACCACGGATTGATGCTTTAGAGTTCAACTCTCAACTACCCAAACACAACTTCGAGAAATCACTTCATTTACTTCGATTTTACCAGTGGAATATTATATGTATAGTGCACTATGGTAGTACGTTTTATTAGTTTTGTTCGTCGGGTAGGTTTTAACTGTTTATTCTGATAGCAATCAAACCAGCCTAAGAAACTTGATTTTTAACCACAATTTCAGGACTATTTTTGGCATATATTCTAAAAGTATCAAAAAAGCGCGAGCGACAGTGAGCACAAATCATTTATGAAAATCTAAGGACAACAATGATATGATTCAAGTTTATTTTTCTCTTGTTGATAACAGTTGTTGAGAAAGTAATTTAATGCATAAAATTAAGTGTCTAACAAGAACATGTAGTGCTTCACTGTACACTGCTGAAATAAGATTTCGCCGTTAACTTTTTTAACAGAAAAGGATTCATAAGAGAATTTGCACTGTTAACTTTAGTTGCTTATTTAACAGAAGTGGCTTACATTAAGTCACGAAACGCCAGAAATATAATATTTCTACTCGTTGGTATATAACGAAAATATATTTATTGACTTTTTACTCAATACTCATTCTATTTGAAACTGTCAAGTCTAACCTTGGCATTGATACCTAAAAAATAATTAATTTGATGTTCAATTGATTAGTTACTTCAAAGTTGCACATCAACGGCACAAAATCTTCCATTTCGGTATGAGTAACTTTTAGGTCGATTACTAGTGGTTGTTATTGATCATGGATACAATCTTCTCCGTTCTACCATACAGCTGTGCAAAATGGACTTTAAAAATAGAAAATATTTATACGTAACGAGTATCCGATCATAGATGCCGTCAAAGCATTGCTCGGATATTTTGGGACCATCGAGTTAGCGATTTTGAGGTCGGACATAGAGTACCACGTAATGATTACAAATCCATTGACGAGGTCAGTCAGTAACAACGTAGAACTTCGTACGTTCGTACATCAGTTCGAGTTGCCACACCACATTAGCACAGAGATGCAGTGGTCGATTCAAATCCCGTAGTGCTAGATGTAGTAAAATTATAAGCTGTAATCAGGAAAGTTAGGGTTTGAAGATGTTATTCAAGGAGTATAATCCAGTGAAATAAATTTGGAAAGAGAAAAAAGAAAGGGATATGAAGAAGTCAGAAGATTAGAATTTGGGAGAACACAAAAAGTGGATGCACCTGCGCCATTGCAAACGATTATGAGCCATGCCATTCAGGGTCTCTAACCATCGATTGTTATCATCTCGCGATCCCCAACCAGGTAGTCTACACCTACTAACATGGCTCAGTCCTCTTGTCAGTAACTTCATGGACTTGTGCCATGTGATTGACGAGGTAGGGAATCTTTATTGATTGAGATGGCTAAAACCTGTATTACGTGGACCCATACACCAACTACCTCGACCTGGGATGACGGCTATTGTAGGAATAGGTTGGAAGAAAGCTATAGGTACCCAAACCAACACACAAATATACTGTTTCTTGGACACAGATCCTTGTAGCTGGATACCAACTACATAATTGTGGATCGCATGATTATCGTAATGACATGAATGACATGACTCGGAGTCGTACGCAATATTGCAGTTGCATTCACTCCTTGTCTTTCCCGTAAAAATTTTAAATCTATTTTACTAATTTAAATTTAGTCGATTCGTATCTTGGATGCAGTCTTTTCGATTACCACTAATACTGTTATTGCCTCTACTACTCTGAGATTTGTCCCGACAATTTCATCTTGTGCTAATGAAGTCTAACAACTTGAACAAATGTACACAAGTGCCAGGATTTACGTTGAGTATGACTGATTGACTAACTAAAGTCATTAGTGCTGAGCTCCTTCAAAACGACAACCATGTAACACCATAGACACGAAATACGTGCATGAAAATTACAGTTGTTTTCACCCAACAGTCTACGATATACAGTTATCCGTAAACAACGTCAAATTGATATGTTTCGATGTCCTTAGTTTGTTTACAATCCGTACACTGCTGTTGGCTTCTTGGCACGGTCTACTTAACCTTCTTCTAATAGCTGAAATTCCAGGAACAGATAATTTAACAATTACAGTCAATAGGACGCAAGATCAGAACAAAGGACAATATTCAAATGTCAGGGTCAGTATACAATAGACAGAAAGCTCTGAGGTGGAGAGCTAAGAGTAAGAAAAACGAGAGAAATGAGTGCTACATCCTTGACAAATGCTACGGAAACAGAACGAGAATACTTAACACATTATAAACTTACACAAGTATATATGAAAGATTATTAGATGCACCAAAAAGGCATCAATGCAAAAAGTAAATAAACATCCAGCAATAGCGATTATAAAGAAAACCAATCCAGATGAATTTAAACCGAATATGCGGAAAACTCCATCTATGAATTCCAATGTTGAAATAAGAAGTCAGTAACCAGTTACGAAAAAATATATACATGAAATAAACACATAATATATAAGTATGATGGGATAAAAACTGAGGGTGATTCAAAACAATGACAAAAATGTTTATTTGAAAGGTCCGCTAAAACTTAGTACAGATGTAGTGAATCCCTACTTTAAAAAAAGCCAAGTGGTTATAAATCACGATAACAGTCAAGTACAAAGTATTTTTAAATAGGTTAGTCAATCAGCCTGACAATTAGCAGATATTAAGTACAAAGGCTGCGGAAAAATATTTGGAAAGCTTTATTTTAATATAAATGCTCCGATTTTTAATGAATAACTATATGAAGTAAACAAGAAAAACTCAATCTCATAGGATGATTATTTACTTCGTAATTGTTTTGACAATGATTAAGTAAACCATTAACGATAAATGCATTGGATTGAAGATATCTTATTCAGCACATTTTCTCAACTCAATATGTTTGTCAGATTATCCCTCTAAAAGGAGTAACATGGTTTTCAAATACATAAACATATAAACTACAAATAAGTTTGAGTGTTGGCATATAAAAACAATTGTAGGGACGACTATCTGACAGATAAGATCTCTCCAGATATTCAAACCGACTTTGAATGTTTAACGATCACTGAAAAGGCATGCTAAATAGTGGAGATATCGTGCAAGAACTAGTATTACCTACGTGCTGGTGCTAAGCCTAAACTCACAAGTAATTGATTTTTTGTTTCCAACTTGGACGCCAAAGAGTTACGGTATTAAAATTACATTTAATGAGGTAAAAACTTGATGGGTGCTAACACAAATAATCGCAACCTATATATGTTTCCCACTTTCATAAGCTGCATTTCACAGTTATAATGATAGAGTGATCTACTGAACTACATGCTCGCTATATAATATATATAACCAACCTGGGAACTGTTATAGATGTGTGTCAGTTCTACTTAGCACGCTCCACATCAGTGTGGTAGCTTATATTTGGACCCTTTGGAACAGGTAAATTTAGATACTGCAAAGTTCTTTTGTTGATGAATTTCATAAATTAGAAATTAGGTAGTTAACAAACGGTTAAATATCTTTGACCGCCTAATGTGAACACACTCAGAAGTTAACTGCTAGAACTGAAAAATACTTGTTCATATAGTGATAACACGAGTATGATATCTGCTAAAATAGTTAAAGGACGATCAGATCTTGTAAATCGTTTGAATGGTGAGTTGCGTTATTCCAAACCATAATCAGAGGGTCCAATGAATACAGAACTTTCAGATAATTTATTGAATATTGAAAACATGTGTAACATATGTTAACAGTCAAAATTTTGTATTTGAAATAATAACATTTAAAAAAATAGAAGATGCGGTTAGAAGACCGAGCTTTTTAAGAAATATCATACTTAAGAGGAACATATACCAAAAATAGCACTTACCATTGTTTATTAAATAATCTAGATGTTCAATGGTCCCATTGGTGAATGTTTGCCAGTAATCTGATAAGACAAAAAAGCAATAACGAAAAATGTATGATAAACAATTCAATATCTGAACATATATTTCTAATAATTTCTTCTTAACACAAAAGTAATAATTAGATAGAATGAGGTACAAAACAACAGCTGATATTTTTGTGGAAGGAGAAAAGTAATCTAATCATAACAATATTTAAGGAAACCGGGATAAACAAAAACAGAATAGAAGTAGATATTACTTCGATTAAAATATATTACTATTTATGTAAAATAAAGACGCAAAACACTAAACAATAGTTATCGATTTTGATTTTAGGTTTCCCTTTAAACTACTGAGTTGAGTGATTTTTCTGATCTCCTCCGAGGGAATCATGACGATAACTTGATCAAGATTCGTTCACCCTAGAATGACATCACAAAATAATCCCTTCATTAATGAATAGCTGGACCAGTACTCAGCACGAGAAATATTGAAGTGAATACGTAAAACATACCAGATCCTCAGAGGCTAGTGTCTGAAGACGATTTCAAAGGTTGGTTACCAAACACATTGCTGAAACTTAGGATAACACATTTGGTATCGACACTAAATGCGACTAATCATAAAAAGACAGCAACAATTAAATGAACAGAATAACCCAACATTTTTAGATAAGAAAGGCCAGGCTTTAAAACCATAGATTACACTTAATGCAACCCTGTGTACCAACGCACTTTACAGTTGGAGTAAAATGACGATGACATCAAATGCTATCCCAGATAATCCATTACGTTGATCCGGCATTTGATATACGAAAAATGAATTTGGAAATTTAAACTTGTTTTATGCGTGTACTACACTGTAAACAACACATTATCCAACATGATGTCCATGTTGGTGAATATTAGTCTAATGCCTTTATAAAGACAAAAATCTGGACTAATAATGTTTCAGTTCATACCCCCACAAAAAATACAACTAATAGGGGAGCTCAATATAAACTCACTATGACACTACCAACATTTGGCATGTTTAACTAGTGAGGTAATTTAAGGGTTTATTTTGCCAATACATAAAAATGCGTTGACTCAAGCAACAAATAATAAATATTCAGCATAGGTATATATGTCTATATATTTTGAATGGAAGTTGTGTTAATACAACCTAGCACAAATAGGTGTGATGAATTAAATTTAACAATAACTACAAAGTTTACGCTTGTCAGTCAGTTACAACGTAGGACCAGGCATACATGTGCATCGGTCCAAGTTGCCATACCTCATTAGCACAACAAGATGAACACCGGATTCATAAAAGTAGTTAATTCAGTGGTGGTAATATATAAGAGAAAGATTGCATATAGAGATATAGTACACGAAGAAAAAATTGGTTCGTAGAAAGAAAGGTATGAAGCGGTTTTAATCTCTTAGTTAAGGGAAGACAGGGAGTGTATACACCTAGGCCATTGTGATCAATTCTGAGTCGTCACCCAGAGTCTTCAACCATTGGTTACGATAGTCATGCGGACCCCAACCAAGTAGTTTGTATCTACCAACATGGCTCAGATGAGAAGTTGGTGAGTTCAAGCACTGATACCACGCTTGTAGGTTTAATGATTTCTTAAGAAATTTTTATTTTATTGTTCAAATATGATGTTGGGTTGAAGCATTTATGAATAAGGAAACCGGAAAACTGTATTTGGCAGAAATAATAAATACCTACGTTTAACAAGCACGATTAAATAATTGACCAATTATATATACAGGTGTAAGAGTATTAATATCATAATATGTATGGATAATTATATTATACATTCGATCGTTGACAATGTTTAACTGACAGTTGATACACATCACTTGTATTTACTAAATAGGTGACCTAGGTCAACATTTTATCTTCATATGAATGATGTAATCATATTTCATACTTGTTTAACTGTTACAGTGGAGAATTATAATGTTCGTTACTGTACAGTTTGTGAAATTTGGCACAGTGCATATTGGTTACCAAAACCAAAACACTGACATGAAGCGCACAGGTGGATTTAGGGTGAAATACAGTATAACTGGTCAACAAAAGGTCCATTCTACTCAGTAATAATAACATACTTTTATGCAATATATAGGACAAAATAAACATTATAAGAACTCATAAATAGTATGAACTATTACTATGTAATGATATCTGGAAGTTAATGAAGATTCAATGAACTTAGCTATTAAGATATCGGTCAGTCTTCTATCTGCTATCATAACCATAAAAATATTTAGCAATTACAATGTGTTTCATAGGAATGGAATTAAGTATTTTTTTAAAATCAGTAATGTGATTATACAGACGACGCATTATGTTGATCTGAATAGGTATAAACATAGTGCTACGACTAAAATAGTGAAAAATACTTAAGAATAAAATCAATTTCATAGAAAGTCTATGCAAGTAGTTTTTCAATCATAAACAGTGTAGTACCTGGTGTATTGGGTTTCAGTTACCAGTCTTCTATCAGCTCAAAAACCAGAAATTAACAAAGTTAGAGCTAAAAATTTCGAATTAATGAAGTAATAGTGATTTATTCTTTTACCTTCTTTAACTTTGATAAGTTTTGCGGTTTACAAAAATCCTCAGTAATTTATCAAAATCCTTTACATTATCAATAATAAGACTATTTTCTGATTTAAAAATAAATATGTCTTCAATAGATTATATTACTTAATTCATAAATTTCTGCATTTATATTTTAAAAAATTTCGACACAACAAAACAAACACTACGGTAAAAAGAATTAGAGATGAGACTATAGTTTAGGAACAGCCTTTGAGAGAAGCTAGACTGACCTTGAGTGTCCGTCAAAGAAGTACAACCAAATGAGGGTTATAAACCAGTGTGAGGAATTAGAATTATAATTTACAGTTGATGATTAAGGTTAGGAATTAGATTTCGGTTTTTCATCACGAACTGACATCAGCTATAATGCCAAAACTCTGTTTATCCGAATGGATGAGTGAATTTCGCGCCAAAATCCGAAACCTAATATCTTATACGTGGTCGGTTCGTCCATAAATTAAAGTATCGCCGAATTAGCACAAACTTTGAAGAATATACACAGACGATAAGACATATTTACATATTTAAATTTCACTTAAATGTTCAACAAATATTAGGTTGTTATGGTTTGAAACTTATTAATTTGTTTGATCCGAATTTCATTTACAATCAGTTTTCAGAATTCATTTCAAAATAATCATAGGCGAATCAATGTAATCATAAATATTGTTAAAATGAATGAGACTATTATCAGTTGAAAGTAATCATTCATTGCAAACTATATTATAAGTAAGAAAAGAGAATGTTAAAACAAAAAATTAACTGTCTTATTTTACAATTCATAATTGACCCATTAATAATCGGACTAAATTTATGAGCTAATTACACTTTAAATCCAGGAAATTATTGACAATTTAAAAATGTCAGGAAGTTTAAAAGAGAAAAAGCCTATGAAGTCTATGGCAATTGAATTCTTTGTTATTAATATTCGTTATAATAAGTAGGCAATATGATCATAACATGTCATATTAAATAATAATCTTATTATTACCTATGCCAATAAATATTAGCAGTTAACTATCATTAAACAATGATGATTAGGCGTGGCTTTTCACTAAAACATTTTGTATGCTACAATTAAGGGAGTTTATACGCGTAGTGAATCGTTGTGAATAAAATAAATTTTACCTACTCTAACCACAATTAATAGTAAGAATAGGAATAAGAATGTTTTCTCTCCTTGCATATACCTTTTAAGTCTGTTATTGACTAAATATTTCAATGATTGCTTTGCTTTTTTAGATACTACAAATCATACAGAAATAACTTCAATGATAGATTTAATGACTAAACTTTGATTAAGCTGAACAGTTAAACTGCAAAAAAACATGTTTTACCAATGAAGAAAATTCCATGAACCAAATGCAGACAAGTAATCGAAGAACATGATGAATTTGAATACACCCAACTAATGGAATTAAACGAATAAATTATTTAGAATCAACTATAAAATTAGTGCAACAAAAAATCACTTATGTAAAATGACCGCGATTAGCATTTTCATCTCATAAGGCCGAAACCAATGATTATTTATTATTTTATTTATTTATTTGAACACATAAATATTGGTACAAGGGGGCAGTCAGTCAGTCAGCTACAACGTAGGACCAGGCACATATATGCATCGGTCCAGGTTGCCATACCTCATTAGCACAGCAAGATGAACACCGGATTCATAGGAGTGGTTAGGTCAAAGATGGTAATATATAGGAGAAAGATTGCATATAAGGATACAGTACAGGAAGAAAGAATTGGTTCGTAGAAAGAAAGGTATGAAGCGGTTTTAATCTCTTAGTTAAGGGAAGACAGGGAGTGTATACACCTAGGCCATTGTGATCGATTCTGAGTCGTCACCCAGAGTCTTCAACCATCGGTTACGAAAGTCACGCGGACCCCAACCAAGTAGTCTGCATCTACCAACATGGCTCAGACTAGAGGTCAGTGCCTTCAAGCACTGATGCCATGTTTTGGTTTGGCCGCCCCTAATTCTCTCCCAACCATCTCTAACACCCGTTAGCATTGCACGACGTGGTAATCGGTGTTCAGGCATTTGTAACACGTGGCCCAACCATCTCAGTCGATGAAGATTAACAACCTCATCAACTGATCTACCATCATTCCCTAATACCCTGCGTCTAACCTCACTATTACTTACCCGGTGATCCCAGCAGACAAATACTAGTAGCTTACGAGTGTCTTCTACTCTTAATGGCCATGTTTCGCTGCCGTAAATTAAAACAGAACGGACTGCCGCGCAGTATACTCATCCTTTTATTGATAGACGGATATCTCGCCTTCGCCACAGGTGACGTAAGTTGGCAAAAGCCAAACGAGCTTTTCGAATCCGTGCTGAGATTTCGTCAGACACCAACCCATTAAAGCTGATCAGACTTCCAAGATAAGTGAAGTTGTCAACGCGTTCGACTACTTCACTCCCTATCCACAGTTCAGGTGTCAACGCAAACCAGTCCTGAAGCAAAAACTTGCATTTAGAGAGGGAGAAACGCATCCCAAACATCCTGACATTGTTGCTCAGTGCTACCAGAAGACTCTGCATTTTATCAGCGTCTTCACCGAACAGGACTATATCATCTGCGTATTCTAAGTCGATAAGTGGACCTCCTGGAAGGAGATCAATACACGAGAATTCAGTCGACGAGAATGTTATTTCCATCAGTAGGGGGAACCAGATATATATGAGCCACACAAAACAATGAGAATGGGAGAGAAAAAAGAAGGCAAGGTGCATATAAGAAAAAAAGAACAATAACGATCACAGGTTAGTGTAAGGTAGTGTTAATAATAATAATAATAATAATAATAATAATAATAATAATAATAATAATAATAATAATAATAATAACAATAATAATAATAATAGGGGAAACGGAAAGGTACAATCAGAAGAAATCTTTCAGTTAAGGAAGATACAACCACTTCTTATGAAGAAATTAAAAGAAGGTTACAGCAGGATTGCCACTAGCTTCTAGTCTGAGCCATATCTGATAACGTCTCTAGCCAATGTTGCACCATCTCTCGGACCCCAACCATGGAGTCGTGAAGGACCAACAGAAGCCATTTCTTCGCAGTTTTCTTTGATACCCCGACACCATGTCATACATTGACCACCTCTCCGCTTTTTCCAACCAGTCCCAGCGTCGGTAAATAATGCACGACGTGGAATTCTCTGGGACGACATTCGTAGAACATGTCCAAGCCACCGAAGTCTATGTTTCAAGATGGTGACACCAATTGGGTTATCGTCTCAAATAGAGTGGAATGACAAAAACCAATGGTAAAATGACATGTTTTCGATTAGATCTTCAGCCAGATTTTCAACACGTGCCATGAACACATCTGTTAACAATGGTCCTAACGGACTACCCATAGCAACCCGATCAATCTGGCGAAAGTATTTACCTTCAAAAGTGAACTGAACTTTGTCAGTATATAATAATAATTTATTATTTATTTGAACACATAGATATTGGTACAAGGAGGCACCAAATACATATGCGCCACATAAATCTCATTTGATATGTGCGAGGGCTGTGATACTGCCCGGGTGCCCAGACCGAAGCAGATGGTTTTCTTAGAGGGCCACACCCGGAGCCTTCGACCTGAAGGTCTGATCCACAAGGCAGTGTAGCATCGTGAGGAGATGCATTCCCATGGTAGCCGGTGACCAACGATTGGTTCATACGCCATTTGTTCCCTCAGGATACTGGAGCCCATGTGCACCATTGGTTTTGAACCAGGGTTTTCCAACTCTCCTAGGTGGATCATCCATATCCACCAACCCGGTTAAAGCGCCGGACATTGGCTTTTCGTCCTCTCAATTCCGTAAACAACACCCCCGCCACGAGGAGGCAATGAGTAGGACTTCCCTGGCAGAGGCTATGTACGCGTGGCCATGTGAGAGCATTTCGAGAGGGAGAACGGACTCTCCCCACTCTTGGCCGTACCAGGGCATTTGGGGGCGTATATAATAATAGTAAATCTTTAAGAATTTTTAAAGGGACAGGTAATTTAATGTTGTTTAAGGATATGTAGTCACATAATATATTAATAGTCTTTATCAAAGGTTAAGTTGTGAACAAGGAATTCACATTAAATGAACACATTGTCTTTTCCTTGTTATTAATTTCACTTAAACGATCAACCAATACAAACGGGGTTTGATAAGGTGCCTATTTAACAGGCTTGATCGTATTTGTACAAGCGACGCCATTGATGATGATGTCAGGTTGCTAAATAAAACATTAATGAGAAATGGCTATCCTCTTAAATTCATAAATAGATGGAAAGTTCACGGTGCAGTGAGACCTACTATAGCTTTGGCAGAGAAAAGGTCTGTCTACATCACCTTAGCATTTCGAGGTGATTCAAATAGCCTTTTATTGAAACAAAGGCTTACATCAGTCATGGACAAGATATATTGTGCAGCGGAGGTAATTATCAAGGAAACAAGGTCCATGCTTCATCGAAAACCTTAAAGATAATAAAACGATTGCGCCATATCCCACTGTGTTTACCAATTTAGATGTGTGTGTGGTCACACATACATGGGGAGGAGTAATCGTGATCTCAAAATTAGGGTGTGTGAACATGTGCCTAAATGGTTGCAGAAACAAGTAGAATCAAATAACGCAATAAGAGTAGAGGATAAACATCCATCATCCTTTATTGCCAAACACATAGCTGAAACAGGTCATAAGAATTATCCTAACTCGGCTTTTCTGATGTACATAAGTGTAAAAGGGTGTATACTAAGGCTTATTGAAGCCTTAGCCATACGAAAACTTAAGCCCCCTCTGTGTATTTAAAAACAGTTTGTTCTCACCTTAAACCTATCCTGGTAATATTAGCTTATTATCCAGGTTTCTTTACTATCTTTATCTCCTCCCTCCATTTCTAGTCTAGTTGACCTTTTATTTTCTTTTATATAAATGTTCTTAACAAGTATATGTGTGATCAAATTGTTCGAAATGTATTGTGCTAATATATCACATATTTCTGATAATCTTCGTCTTCTTATAACACTATCGAAATTCATCAAAGGGACTAATTGCTTCAAATTTTTACTCAAGCTGGCATAACTAGTATTCTGCACGGAGAATCCGTTTACAAAACTTAACTGGTCTCTGATACAATTTATGGATCAAACGGTTAGAAGGATAAATCAGATTGAAATCTTGAAAATTCTTGAGAGTAAAATGGGAGTAATATTATAAAAGGTAAAAGAAAAATGAAGTGAAAACGGGAAGTGTGGACTAAAAGAAGATACAAAAAGTCTGTTACTACTGATTCAGAAGTGTTAAGGAAACTCGATATCTCTCCAACTTTTGAGTTATAGTTTCAATAAAAAACAGATTTCATTTCACAGCAACAATACTTGTAGTTTACGCTCTGTCAACGAATCCATTTCGGATGATATTTTCTTGAAACAATCACAATGAGAACGATATTGTTGAATGTTATGCATAGATTTTTATAAGGTTGTGCATTTAGTCAATAACTTTTATATGTTATAAATCGAAAATAAACAATGAAAATTACTAGAAAAACAAAATGGAAAATATCAGATGCCATCGCTCTAAATAAATATGTAATTATTTAGTTGAACAAACAACACACTGGTGTATTTTCATTTTATACTGATGACAGATCAATAGAAATGACCTCAATCCTTATCACTGATATATATTTGAGATAACAATGCTAGGGTTAATAAATCCACATTCTGCATATGGATATTTCAATAGAAAAATAATACAATAAATCCAGGAAATTTCATACTGAACTATTCGAATGTAATATTCTTGTTTTTGTGGCTTACGCTGCCAAATGTCACGGAATGAAAGTTTTAGCAGAACTCACCCTGATATGCTTGTATCCAATATCCATATGGACGATCTGAATAATATGCGACAGCCAAGGACAGAGAAAGACTCGTGGATATACTAAGTGACAGACAAGCCATTGTGATTATCCCAGCAAAATATCTATACTCAAATTAAACATATATAGAGGGAAAAACATTGAATTATGGACTTTGATAACCATTTAACACAAAAAGTGAGTAAGGTTTAGTTGCATACACAAATGTAAAACAGATGAATTATTTTCCACGAAAATACTAATTTCAGCCTGTTTTTAATACATTCAATAAGTCAGCCATCTAATTCTCAAAAACGTGGATGGCAAATAAATACGAGTATATAAACACATAAGCCAATAGTAGATACAACAATTTGGTATACGTAAAGATTTACATATATATTTCTGGAAAACTGGGAAGACCACCTACGTAAAAAAATGTATACCTTTGGACAGAAGGGGAGGTAACTATGTAGATTATTAAAGACTAATGGTGGAGAACATCTGATTCAGGGAATAATTTGGTATCAATGACTCAAATATATTACAAAATTTATGTAAAAACTTACGTATAATTGCGACTACCTATACAATTATTAAGCCATTTACAATGATGATCAAAATCAGCGATACATTTGTTGCAACTTTTGCAGTGTTTTGTTCGGGAACTTGAGCTGAATAAAAGGAAACAAGTGCTTTTTAAACCAATAGGAATAAAACCTATTGATCACATATGATATAAATAATCTTACCAATTTATTTAGTTTTAGTTACATAAAACACTTTTTCTAGGTTTTTGGTAACTACTTAGTGTAAAATGAAGAACTTTTGGACAAAAAAAGGCTAATATGCATGAATCAGTACACATGCACAGTGTTCAACAGTATCATGTTTCAAATATTTTCAGAACTACTTGCGAAAAAATAAACACGCATATTTGAAATTATACGCTTGAATGATTCCAATTCATTATCGGCAACACATAAGATTATGATGAACAGCTTTAATTTACTATGTCCAGCAAAAAATTGTTGGTGTTCGCACAAACTGGATTTAGCTAACCTTTATTGACAATACATTTCACAAGATTTACGAACGAGTGCAAGCCAATGTGACTTACATGACAGTTTATATGATTAGTGACATCAATCTATACGAAAAGCTTAGTGCAGTGAGAATGCAAATACTGACTCTTCACTCTCATCCTTTGGATTAGATTCAAGGGATCAAGAGTGATTTATCAAATCGACAATTAACTTCAGATTTCGCGCATGGATAGCAATGCAGACTATACACATTCTAAGATAGTCAAAAATGAAAACATTACTCTGTGATGAAAACTAATCATAGTGCCACTAATATATTCACAAAAATATCCGTTCCACATCAATTTGGTTTTCAGCACTAATTTTAGTTTTATGAGACAACTTATTGCTGTCAAGTTTAAGTCCTACAAGGTAGCTAAAAATCAGACTTGTCAATACTGTCCGCCTGACGTATATTTCTTAAGTTTGTCATTTGCGTCCACAACTTAGCGAAAATAAGAGAACCAACATTATGTGGGAAATACAAAAGCCTCGTTACTGAAGTATTCTGTATTATTAAAAATCGCCGTTCAAATAATAACAAAATAAAGTGATTTGTCTATTTATTTGGTGGCCCGAAAATTTTGCTCATGGTGACATTGTAAAACACCCAATGACATCCCTTCCCACGACAGAGAGAGTAGTATTATTCTAGTGGGTTACAGTGGATAGTCTTCTATGTAATATAATTCTGTAAGCCTAACTGGGAGTGACAGTTAAACGACAAGGATACAGATAATCTCTTATCATCTTTATCTGAGATACAACCAGCTGAATGCCACCACTTTTAATCCTTAGGCGGAAGATAGGGTTTAAAACATAAATGCATCGATACTAGTCCGTTCTTAAACATTAGTTGGCAGTAGGTGAGATACTCAGCTTCTCAACTTGGGGAGCTGAGTACTGAAATCACACAAACAGGCCCAATCATCCATTACGAAAAATAAAGACTTGAAAATAACAAGTCAATAAACACAAAAAATACCACAGAACAGGAAATACTTACATTGGCAGCTCACACAAATTACAATAAAAGTTCTCAATCACATGTACATGTTTAGGATCCAAAGAGGAAACTTTATTTCCACGCGATTTTTGTTTTTCTCTGACAGCTGTATCAGCTGGATTAATACTCACCGCAATTATATTAAGAACAATATAAGCAGCAATACACACGGCATTGATCTAATGCATGAATTAAGGATGGATAGAGTTTATTACAATGAGACAATCGTGACAAACCTCCTCACTAAAGAAAGGGGGAAGTACTAGGATCATAGAAATGACACAAAATGGTCCCTAAATAACAATAATCTCTGAACGTAACACTAATAACCAAAATAACATTTAAAGTACTATTTGAAAGTGACTTCACTAGCTAAGATACTTTTTCCTGAACATTACTAAAACTATTGTATGTAAACATTTATACAGAACAGGGATGTCAGAACGCAACCCAAACCTAATCAATGCAGGCAACTATGGGTCCCTATATTATTGCTCTTTTACGTCTATTGAAATATCCCACTATTGGCATACAGCATGTACAAGCAAATGACGACAGGTTTTAAAGTTGACCTCATTTAGCTGGAATACTTTAACCTATTCAGTCTACCAACATCTGCCATATTTTTTTTATTAAACACAGCGTATGCACATTGAATGCTTTAATGACTGAATTGTTATATGAAGTAACTCCAACCAGCTATTACATACATTTGCAACTAGTTTTGACCTCCCCATGATTATACAAGTAACGAAATAGAACAAATGCATTTATAAGAACTAATCAAACATTTCGCTTATTTTTCGTCGGTCTTAGTGTGCTAGGTGGCTTTTAGCTTAGTTAATCACACCCGGACAAAACACTAGGTGAGCTAAGGAAATTTCCCATGCCATATACCACAATATTTGGGGATCGATACTCATCAGTCACAATCGGGTATATGAAGGATACAGTAAAAAGAGGAATTCTGGCTCGAATGACGATAGATGGGACGAGTATTCCAAAGTAGATTATCGAGAACAGAGCAGTAGCGAACCAGGATAGACATTGTAAAGGATGAATTGGCAACGACCACCCATTGATTCTGCTGGATGATTTTGTATTTAAACTCATGTAAGCCTTAGGTATTTCTGAGCAAGTAGATTTGTCATAGTATGGGAACAAACCATATCCATGTCATTAAAACCGAACCACCAACCATCCAAATGTAATGAGCAACTCGATTGCTGTTGAAGTAAATTCTACGAAAGGACGAGTTTCAACTTAACTGCAAATGCCCAAAATAATGGTACCGGACCAAACAATCAATCCGAAATTGTAAATGAAAGGCTGTTTCTATCTTAACAGAACACACCTGAAGTTACCGCCAACATAATTATCTCACGCTCTCCGAGGTCAAAAACAATGTCCAATAGTTCCATGCAGCGGTTACGTTAGTAAAAGCAACTGCAGACTAAAATATGTTGATATGAAACAACGATCCATGAGAACGTTTAGGCATAAATCTCCGCACCAGTGAGTCATGTTGTAACAACAACAACAATTATTTCCCTCAATACCTTTGGAATAAGAGTTGAACATCATTTCGCAAGAATCCCATTGCGGTTCTTTCAGGCACTGAACTCCGCAGTCTACAGATCTCAATCTCATGGACATTTGCATAGACATTTGTGCGTACTTTCATATGTTTAGTGAAATTAATAACTGATAAGTAATGAGGACCAGTCTTTGAGAACTGAATTATGAGATCAATACTCCATCCCAATTGAAGTCCTACCTAATATCCCGGTCCTCCACAGTCTGAAACTTTGTTGTTTTGGGTTAAAGAAGTTAGATTTACTTTTTATTTGAGACATCATTTAAATTATCCTTCTCGGAACCCTTTCTTAAGTTTTGGCATCGTTTCAAAAGTAGTAATAAGTGGTAGAGATTTCATTATATAAAGCATTTGATGATGTCACAGGTATTCAGTGTTTGACAACGCTTCTACCAGTAACACCTTCTAATATATTTCGTTCCCGCCCAGAGAAATCAAAAGACAGAGTCGAGGAGATCGGAAGAGTATATTTGGCGATGACCAATATATCGGAATTCTCTGATCTAATCTGGCTAGCGATTGCGGTTGATGTTGAGCACGGCGTTACCACACGTGATCTGGTGCGGATGCCTGACCGAGCGCCTTCAGCTAGATGAGTCCACTAAAACATATGGTCAGCATCCAATGTCGAAAACTTACAGAGCTATTTATTTTGGGGATTTATTTACCGCTACACATTAATTAAATTTCGTAGGTGTGCATGAAAATCTCAGATACATCCCAAAGTTACGAAAAGGGACACAGTTGAATATACCACAGGTATTTGGAGTTTGACAATGCTTTAACCAGTAACACCTTCTACTATGAATCGTACCCACCAAGTGAAATCAAAAGACGGGAGTGAGGAGGTTCGAAGATATATTTGACAGGCTATCAATATATCGAGAATTGACTGGTTTAGACTGGCTAGCGGTTGTAGAATAAGTTGAACACAGAGTACCTACGCGTGCTCTGGTGTAGATGTGTGTTCGAGCGCCTCCAGTTAGGTTAGTCCACCCAAAGTGATGTGGTCAGCACCAGATGTCGAAAACTTACGGAGCTAGTGGGGTAATGATGACCTTAAGACACGGCTAGCCGGAAATTTAAAACCAACATGTCTGTCGTTGGTAAACACACTTCTTATGGCTTACTGTGTTCAGGAGCGTTTGGTAGTCTTTCGTTACTATGAGGGGTCATGTGGTACACTATAGTGACGAAGAAACATGTACGATGAAAATTTCAACTTCGTCGGTTTTTCGTCGTTTCCAGCCGTCCTGGAGAAGAGAAAGAGAGGATATGTAAGCGCATGTCTAATTAAACTCGTACATACGTGAAGACAAAAAGGAAAATAAACCTATATACATCCGTTTCGCAAACATGTCACAGCGTAAAAACGATTTTCGCAGAAAGAATGCTTGGTTTTTGATAAAATAGAAATATGCACATACAAACAAGCACACTAACAACAAGAAGCTTTACCTTCGAATTTTTTAAATGAAAATAATAAATATATACAGGCAAATTGAAAATATTTTATTTTTGTTTCTTGACACATTAGTACGTAAATTTCAAGACGAAACAAAATGTTATATACTGTCCTAAGTGAAGTACTCACTTGGGTGTTCCGGAAACCTCACTCTTCATTCAGAACGCGTTGTTTAGAGTCGGTTGTCAGAAACCACCAACACGTCGTCGGGAATGTTGATTATTGGGTGAGGTATCGCAATTGCGAGATCCGTGTCTTTCGAGTGTACCGAGGGAAAATCGACGTGGATGGGTCTCCTTCTCAATATGCTGCTTTGATAAGGTCGATGTGGATGTTATCGTTAGTTCCGTTCTTATCGATTGTATAGTACTTAAGTTCACGCTGAAGAACTTTGAAGGGTCCTTCGTATACCTTTTTGAAAGGTTGTAGAAGTGAGTAGCGACGTACAAACACGTGTGTATTACATTGTAGGACAGGTTGGACGAAAACATCAGTTGATTGCGGTCGAGTGGAAACAGGTTTAACTGAACGCATTGCGTTTGTAAACCTGTTCGTGTAGGAGGTTAAATACATGTTCATTGGTATGATCAGATAATTTAAATAAGAACAGAGTTCCTATTATTCAAGGGACATTATTGTACCCAAAGAAAAAGACAAGTTGATTCGATATGATAATCAGTAATAATGAAATTCTGAGTGGCTAAGAGTGGTTTGTATACCCATGTCGAAGACAAGGAGAATATAGTGGGCACAACTGGAAGGATTGTATCTGGTAATCACACCAGCCGCAAAATCATGTACGACTGAAATAGTCATTTCATAGAAATACAGCATTCAATTTTTTGAGAGATCGGCGACCAACTCCTAATTAATAACAATATAAGGAGTGTAATTAGCCACCGGATACAAACATCAATCATTCCCAAAACAAGCTGGGTTCGCGCTTCTCTGGCACCAACAGAGAGTAGAAGCAACCAGTTCACACGGTCAACCAAAGTACATTAGTCTAATATGGCAGCCACCAAAAGGCAATGTGGTAAGACTAATTTATGCACAACCCTTGAGCGAAGCCAGACTGACCTTGAGAGTGTCCGTCAAAGAAGTACAACCAAATGAGGGTTATAAACCAGTGTGAGGAATCAGAATTATAATTTACAGTTGATGATTAAGGTTAGGAATTAGATTTTGGGTTTTCATCACGAACTGACATCAGCTATAATGCCAAAACTCTGTTTATCCGAATGGATGAGTGAATTTTGCGTCAAAATCCGAGACCTGTTACCTTATACGTAATTGGTTCGTCCATAAATTATGGTCTCGCCGGCGATGTTAATTAAAACAAACGTTTATTAATCGACTCAGTAAGCAGTATAATGTTATGATAACAGGTAAAAGTAAAAAAATGAACGTGATGTGCTCAAATACAGGAGGCGACAGAGAAAGTATTACGTACAAAAGGTAACAAGGTAATGCTGCCACATGGACTGCATAAAGTAGATAAATTGCTAAATCACACCACATTTGTTTCTATTCAAAATAACGGAGACGTGTCCCCGTCGATCAGGGAACACTAATCTGTCATTTTCGGTTCGAAGAGTAATAATCAAGTCAAGTCAATTTGAGGTAGCAGTTGATAGAGTAAGAAATCAAGTAAAAACAAAATTAATGTGGTCCGTCAAACATAAAACTATTCGAAACGCCTAAAAGGCCGAATTGCAATAAAAATAATTGGTAACAGTTCCGGATGCGACCAAAATTTTGAAATCCTAGGAGTGGAGGAGTCTAAATAACAACTTTACATCTAATAGTAAAAACGGTTATTTTTAAAAAGCTTGTACAATCACAGATATTTGCCAATTAGCATACAAATACGTACGAGAACATGTAAAACAAAACACTGGGAGATTATTACAGACTTTTCATTCACTTCATAACTAGCGAACTACTCTTGTTTGTGCTTGGCTTGTCAGGATCTTCTTTAATCTTTGTCAAGTAATTAATGCTTATTCATAATGCTCAATTCTTTTCTGTTCCTAGTTGATCTTACGAGTTTATTTTTGTAACAGTAACTACACGTTTTGGAAAAAGTATTGTTCCGATATATTCTGTCCATCTGTAGATGTACGTCCTATCCACTTCCATCGTCTTTCCTTTATTTCCTCTTCACCTGTAAGCTGGTTTGTTTTCTTCCATAATAGGCTATTGATGATGGTATCCGGTCAACGAACATTGAATATTTTGCGTAGACAATTGTTTATAAATACTCGTACGTTTTGGTGGTGGTTGTGGTATGGCACCAAGTTTCAGCTCCTCACAGTAGAACTGCCTTGATATTCATAATGAAGATTCTGAGTTTGATGTTGACATGCAGATAGCTGTTTCTATATGTTCCGTTTGTTTCATATGTTTTCCAATTGCAGGAATGCGGCCCTTGCTTCACCAAGCCTGCCATTCGAGTATATTAAGCTGACGAGTGTTTAATAGGACGAAATGAACGTCATAGATTCCACTGCTAGCAACTATCCATCTCTGCTTAATAAACTTCATACGCAAGAATTGTGCTCAGTACCCTATTGTAAACCATTCGCTGTTAAAGCTTGAAACTGACTCTCGACATAATGTAAAAAATCAGAGGTACATTTAGAGCATCTTTTAGAATCATGTGAGATAATTCTAAAGCATTCTGACCAAGACATATGCAATAAGCAGCTGTTTTAATTTAAAGAAAGAGTTCTCTGAAGCATACGACGTACTAGGGCATGTATGGTCAAAGATTACCAGGACCTCCGCATTTTATGCATATCTCTTAAATTTGTTGAGTTAGGTGTCGGATGACGCCAACGAATATACGTTTAAAATTCTGGATACATCAATGGTACCATTTAAGCATAAAGACCAAGATAAGATATATGCACTCCAGTGATTCCTGAATTGCTTAATCGTACAAATACACAACATGACAAGCACTTAACTTGGTATAAATGAAGGTTTGTAGCAACATAGGTTGAATGGTTAAGAGTCGACCAAAAATATCTTACTGGATATCAAGAC